GGCGGAGGCGGGGCTCGGCGCCCCGAGGCCCCGCCCCCCTTCGCCCACTCCTGGAATAACGTCACCAAAATCATGAATGGCTTCGGCGCTCGCAGATCCCGCGGGCGGCAGCTCGGGGGCGCGCTCGGCTCCGCTGCTCCAGGGCCGTGGTTTGCTGCGGCTTCCAGCCCGGCCCCCCGCCCGCGACTCACACACGCAGACACGCGCGCGCGCACACGCACGAACCGGAGCTGGAGTTCAATGTCAACGCCGCTCCGAGCTCACAAACCCGCCGCGTCGGCGCCCCTCTCCCCGCACTCACCACTCGGGACTCGGGGCGGGGGACCATGGGCCTGAGGAGAGCGCTGGGCCCACTCCGGAGGTGACCCCTTGGCGGCCGCGCTTCGCCGAGGGAGGGCTCCATCCCTCGACACTGGCCGCCTGGCGCCAGCGCTCTCCTTCGCACCCACTCGCGGTCCCCAGCCCACACCTCGGGACCCTCCGTCAGCGTTCATGCCCCAGAGTAGGCCTCGCCCGCGGCTCCTCGATCGCTGCGCCCGAGGCGCGTCCCCNGGGGGGGGGGGGGAGGAGACGCGGAGCTGGGGCACGGACACTAGCAGGGGTCGCGTTAGCTTTCCAGGGGCTACTCTGCAGCCCAGAGATCCGAGGAGGGTTTTGTTGGTGTGAGAAAGGAAGTGGTGTCTTGCTAGGATTTTTCCATTGGACACACACGCACACGCCCGCGGCGCCGGGCAGGGGTGCGGGTGCGCACCGCTCAAGCACACCTCACCCGCCTTGGCTCCCAGGTCTCATCCAAGGAGAAGAAACAAAGGGCCTCAGCGGAACCTCTCCACGCTGCTCAGGAATTGCTACCCCGGGGCCTGTCCAGGCGGTCAGTCCGCAGGGCCCCAGAGCCGGGATGGGAGTCCGCCCCTCTGTGGCTGGAGCGCATTGCTTCACACCTCTGCTCCACAAACTCCTGTAAAACGGCTTAGAATCCTGACCTATGTGTGCATTGGGGATGGAGGCCGGGTGTGTGTGTGTGAGGGGGGAGCGTATAAAAAACTTGGCAAATTAAATGTGCTTTGAAGTCAGCCAGCTCTTTGAAAGGTAGTGAATGTATTGAATCCATTTATATGTGCTTATGGGTGGAAATATATAATCCTATCTCAAGTAAAGTATGATGGGATTAATGGGGAGGGTGAAACAGCAGCCCTCTCAATTTTCATCAGCCCTCCCAAGCCCACCCAAATAAAAGCAATCGATAAGAATTGATAATGGTTATTAATAGTGTATGTAAAAAAGAATTGATAATAATTAAAAGCAATTTTTCTATTTTTAATCATTCATATGTACAACCTGAGTAAAAACAGTGTACTTTCTAGGAAAATGCAGCTTCAAGACGAGCCCTCTAGTTGCTTTCTCCGAGCAGTGAAATTTAGGAGCTTCTCCCCTCCCACCCCACAAGATAAATCAGAAGTTGACTTGTCCTGCCAAGTACCACCTCCATTCTGCTCCTCTGGAGGTGTCCTGCTGGAGGGCAATGTTTCTGTGGACAGGAGCTGATGGGGGGTGCTCCAGGTGCGTGGTTACTGCTGGGGAGCGGGCTGTTTGTGTCTTTTGCACAGGGTGGGGAAGCTTCTCAAAGGCTGGGTATGACATTGTCATTTACGAAGCCAAAGGAAAGCCAATGCTCGGAGAGCTGGTTTCTAGGCTGGGGCTTTTCTAGGTCCTGGGCCAGCAGGACTGGTGCCTTTTGCCATTTCTCCCCAGTAGCAATCCCTGGCAAGACTTGGATAAAAGGACTTGTTTCACCACTTTTACGTACCAACAGCCTCGCATTATATATTTGTGATTATTGCTTTGTGAAACTTTCAAAATTCAGAAAGCACCTCCCCCCCCCACGGACACATACCCCTAGAGTGTCAAAATGGTCTCGTATTGAAGCAGAAGGTGGGAAGCAAGACCTCCATCTGCAGATATCTGGCCTCCAGAAAAATTCCGTACATTGGAGAACATTGAGGTAATTGTCTAGTGCCCACTCTAGGAAAATGTTGTATTAATGCCCATTTTAACTAAATTTCACCTCCATCAGTAAGTTGGAGTAGAAAGTAAGCCTTGGGTGATGACCCCAAATCTACACTTTCTGTTTCCCTTCTGGGACCACAGTGACACATTCATTTGTTTGAAAACATGGGAGGCATGGGCTGAACTTTGATACAACTATAGCAAATATGCCATCTCTCTATCATAATACTTTATATAGTGCCCTGCAGTTTTTCAAAGCATTTTCATAAACTCTGCTCTCAAAGAACATAATAAGAGTAACATAGCACCAGTTACAGCCCCCAGTTTACAAATATGCAAACTGAGGCTGAAAGAAAGTGGGGGATTTGCTAAAGATCACAGAGCTCCTCTGTTACATTGTTCTGGGTCACTGCATTTTCTTCAGATCTCTGAAGACATGGGGTATTTGTCATGCACACTGACCGTTTCTTGTTAATATCCTACGAGATCGATTTCTACCCCCACTGCCTTTGAATAAATGAAGAAATACAAGCCAATGAAGTCAGAGCCCCAGAAACTTAGAGCTGAAGGAGACCTTCCCAATCACCTAATCCAGTTTCCTCATTTTACAGGTGAGAAGACACCTAAGAGATTAAATGGCAGGTCCAAGGTCACCAGGCTATTAGGTGGTGTAGATGGAACCTGAATGCAGGCCTTCAGGCAGATGGCCAAATGTTCTTTCCACTACAACCCTGCGTCTTGCACTGCACTTGCCAAGAAGTTAGCAGCAGAAGTCAAATACACGATCTGGACTCTCTAAACCACCTCAGTACACCACCACCACTTAATGAGCACCTACTATGTGCATATCAGTGAACTAAATACCCATTCAGAGCTCTCTGCACTCCCTCCCACCTCTCGCTTTTGTCCCAGGAAATAAAGGGTTGAATTTCAATTCTGCTTCAATAAAAACCCAAGTGTAATCAGAACTGCTTTGTTTTCCAACATTTACATGAGGCCAGTTTTCCATCTCCTTCTTTCCCTCACCTAAAATAAGGATTAAAAAAGAATAAAGATACTGAGCTTTATATCTTGTTAGAGTTACCTACAGTGCCACTGTGCCATGTATGCAGGACATGTCACTAATTATTCATTGAGTAGAAATGTCCTCATTTAAATTCATTTAGCAACACATCCCTACACTTCTTCTCCTTTCCAGCTTGCAAAAAGACAGTATTGCATTTAATTTGCCTAATCATGGGGAAGTTGGTCCTTTGGTTAGCTATAAGGGACTTCACTGAGTAACTGTTTGCCGTGGTACACCTATATCTGTTAGCACATTTATGCCTCACAGCAACTTTAAGACATAAGCACTGTTGCCCCATTTTACAGATGAAGAAAGAGAGGCTCTCAGAGGTCAAGTAACTTGGGCATGGCCACATGGCTCTCAAATGGCTGAAGCAGCATTTGACTGGGGTTTATTGGTTCCAAAGCCTATGTTTTCCCCACAATATTACACTTATCCTGGCCTCTGTGGTTTTATTTGTTTGTTTTAACAGCTGAACTATAAACTAAATACAGAAGTGTCAGTTCCAACAGCAAAGTCCAGGAGTATTGGTGTCCATCAGTGGGCACCAGCTAGCCAAATAAACAAATTTCCCACCTGGGAATCTGAAAGCTTCTTAAAGATATCGGTCAAAGGCTTGGGGTTTAAGAATTAAAAAAAAAAAAAAAAAAAAAAAGAAA